CAGCAAGACTACTTCATGGACGAAACTGTGTACCTCACGTGCATGATGTCAGAAAGCATCTAAAGCCAGCAGTTCTGCTATTAGTGATGCTATAGTTGGCCAGTGCATTAAGATGGGAACAGCCAGCACTGTCCAGGTGTCCCACGGCAACCAACAAGCTATCTATTCCCTCCCTATCCTTTACCAGGAGGCCATGTCCTGCAAGGGAGAACTGCCCAAGCTCCCATTTCCCCAGATCAGCCCAAGTATAGTTGTGTAGATTGTGGTCTACTAACCTAAAGTCTATTTTACTTGAAGAAGAGGACCTTTATCTAATTCACATAAGTGTACCTTGTAGGGCAGTGATTGTCTGAACAGTTATATATGCTGATTTCCATTTTAGGAAGATCACCTTTTTGCAGTGTGGAAAACAGATTTGAGTATGTTTAGACAGATAGGACAGATTCAAGTAAAATATACTTAGCCCAAATGAAGATGATGCAGGCCTTGAGTACATGAGTAGTTGTAGAAATTGGACAGAGAGAATGCAAGAAATATTTAGATGGTAAATGGATAGAAATCCCAGATTTCTACAAGCAAAAATCTTTATATTTGAAGTTGACATCAAACATCTCCCTGCCTTTCTAATGAAACAAAAACAATCCAAATATTGCATGGAATAAACTAAAGCAGAATTTCTGAGTAGGTCTGCATCTTTATTCCCGTCTTGCCCCTTGGTTCTTCATGACCATTTTTTCAAATTTATTTTTTTAGTTTCCATATATATGTGTTAGCATACGGTATGCAGACCTACTACAGAATGGACTTGAGGATGTGGGGAGGGGGAAGGGTAAGCTGGGACAAAGTAAGAGAGTGGCATGGACATATATACACTACTAAACATAAAATAGATACCTAGTGGGAAGCAGCCACATAGCACAGGGAGATCAGCTTGGTGCTTTGTGACCACCTAGAGGGGTGGGATAGGGAGGGTGGGAGGGAGGGAGATGCAAGAGGGAAGAGATATGGGAACATATGTATATGTATAACTGATTCACTTTGTTATAAAGCAGAAACTAACACACCATTGTAAAGCAATTATACTCCAATAAAGATGTTAAAAAAAAAAAAGAATTTCTGAGTAGGTCATAGATATTATATTTGTGACACTAAATAATTTCAGGTTTATTCAAAACTTTAACATAAAAATGAATAGTAAGATTGCAGTTAATTTAAGTACAGAATATGTACAATTCAAGTACACAGTCATGTAGTTTCTATTATTCATAGAAGTTACCCCCAAATGAAGGACCAGACGAAACTGTTAGGGAGAAAATTGCACCAGACACTTGTTAAAATTGACAAGGAAGACTATTCAAGACTATTGCAATAGGGGAGAGAGACTGAACTCAACTTCCCTGAAACAAAAGACAGAAGGATTTGCTGGGATGAGTGAATGAAAAAGTACTGGAGGACTCTGAGAAGGGGGTGAGGAGTTTGCCCACAGTGATTGGGCCATTTGTGTTTGCTACTTGTTAGGCTCCTACCCTTGCACAGAAACTAGGAAACAGAGGCCCTATCTTTCTTGATGACTGCATTGCAAAAAGATGACTCCCAGGTCCTTGAGAACCACATTTCTGGGTTGCAGAAGACTTACACCTCAAAAGAGCAGAGAAAGAATTTACAACTGCAAGTTTTCTAAAGTAAAGGCTCTAAGAAAAGGGAGGTCATGAACCTATAGTCAGAGGTCATGAGAGGAAGAATAAGGCCATCTTAGTCAAAACACTCAAGAACTAGAGGCTAAAAGCAAAATAAGATGCCTGGAATAAGACCTTATGAATATAAATAATGTAACTGCCAATTTTGTGTTTAGCTGCAGTAGTAAAACAGCATAAGGTAAATAAAAACACATTCCTTTTTATAGTAATGAGAAAGATGAATGCCAACAGGAAAAACAAATGATCTCCTGATTTTCAATTTATGAACTTTATAGCTGCTAATTTATCTTGAAAGACTTCAAACTGAAGCAAGCTTCAGAAATATGCAAAGCCTGGCACTCTGTTCTAATAAGGAGACAAGTTTTTCCCTGTGTCCCTGAGGCAGAAACAGTTATTTGACATAATCTTTTCTAATTATTGGAGTGGATTTTTTCCATCTAATCATATGTGTTCTGTCTCAGCTCTAAATGAGCAGAAATGATTTGGATAGTGAGGCTGTCACAAAGAAGCAAATAAACCAACTAGACAAAGGAAGTTATAACTTTATGTGAGGGAACCATCTACTGCTATCAAAATTAGTGACAATGCTACTTCAAGCTAATAGCTAACTTCAAGATTTTTGTACTTTGTAACAGCAGACAATATTAATACTTTAATGTTTTATTTTCATTTCCCAAGACAGTTGTTACGGGTTGAATTGTGTCCCCTCAAAAAAAGGTATGCTGCAGTCCTAGACCCCAGTACCTCAGAATGTGACCTTATTTGGAGATAGAGTCTTTACAGAGGTAATCAAGTTAAAATGAGGTCATTAGGGTGGTCCCTAATACAATATGGCTGGTGAGGGAAACTTGGACATGGATACAGACAGGCATAGAGGGAAGATAGCCATCTACAAGCCAAGAAGAGGGGCCCGCAATCGATACTTTCCTCAGAACAAACAGCCTGCAGGAGGAACCAAGCCTGCTGACATCTTGATTCCAGACTTCTAGCCGTCAGAACTGTGAGACAATAAACGTCTCTTGTTTAGGCCACTCAATGTGTAGTACTTTTTTAGTGGTAGCACTAGCAAACTAATACAAGAGTGCTAGGACTAAAAGAATTAGAAAGTATTTTTTAAAATTTGGGGGTTACTGTCTTCTTACTCAACTGTAGTTTTAAAAAAAATGTTATGTTTCTCACTTTTATTGACCTTTGTGCCATGTTTTAATGTTCATTCAGTTTGATTCATTCAGCTGTTTTTTCAAAGCAATTTTACTTGAATTTGGTTTCTAAAAATGAACCTGTGATGATTCTTGAATCTTTGTGTAAATAAATCTTTACTAAATCCAAGTGGCCTGTTGAGTCAGAATCTTAAATCCTTTTTAACTGGCTCAAGAAGAACTTGGTAACACACAAACACACACACACACACACCTCTAAATCTTTGGTGAACAATAAATATGCCCAGGTCCATAGAAAATAATTAACTTTTCTATCATGTTATACAAAAAGCCGAACACAATTCCTCTTCCTAATGTGAAAACTATAGTCCTGGAGATTCATATTTGTACATTTAAATACTTATCATTATTGAGAACCAAAGTAAGCTTAGGTATGAAGTGTTGTCAGTTACTTTACCATGAATATATACAAACGTTCAATTCATTTGTGTACATGTTTATACACACACCTGTATATTTAAAACTCAAAAAATAAAAATTATACTTAATATACAAAGGCATGGAAATTTATTGAAAAATACAGGTTTACCTTTAAAATAACTGTCAAATCAACCACTGCATTTTTCATGATGTAATCTAATTTTTATTCCATATTCTGAATTAGAAAGATTTACAAATAATTCCAGCTTGTTACCAAAAGAGGGGAAAAAAATTCAACCTACTAGTACTGGATTATATTAATCAGCTACTAAGAAGAAATTTTCAATAACAAAAATGCCTGGTATATAAATTGTTTAATATTCAAAGTCTCAGTGTTATATTTCTTCTATAAACGATACTGCCTTCAGGTTTATCTTACTTCCTAATGTTCTTGATGGATCCTAAGGATACTGCAGAAAACTGAATTTTGAAATCTTTAAATAGATGAAAGCCAATCATAAATAATGCATTTTTGCATTTAGATAAGATATTCTGTTTGGCTATTTTAACGTTTTTTAAAAAAAGAAGCAGCAGCAGCTATTCTGTGTAGGTGTTTTTGCAACAAATCAAACACTAATCATCATTTTGCTTGTATTTTGCTATTTGTCATCAGGACTGCCCTATCATAAAATAATCTCTGTCAGTGACAGATTAATTGGTTTTCTCTGTGTCTCATTTCAGAATATTTAAAGTGGTACGCTGAGCTAGATATCCTAGTATGGGTTCTCTGGTAGTACCTCTCATGCATATTTTGTAGAAAAGTTCTGATAAGCCAAGGCTTATATTTGTATATCTGTGACTCCCTCTTCTTCCCAGCTCCCCCTGGGATGTAATAAAACCAGGCCAGGAATGCTGTCACAACCTGGATCTCCTGGGGAGCGGGGTCTGGACCTCATCCCTCGTGCCAGGGAATGGAGAAGGGCTCTTGTCTTGTTCTTGGAGCCTTAGCTCCTGCTGTTCCCTCTCCTGGAACGCTCTTCCCTAGAGAGTCTCTTGCCTCAATCTCTCATCTCCTTCAAGTCTTTTCTCAAATCTCTTCTTTATAAGAAGAAATCTAACTGCAAATTCAATACAGCAAACTGTCCCTCTCCTCCTAGCATTTGAGGTCTCCCTTATACTCTCTAATTTTTCTTCTTAAAGTTGCATTTTCCACATTTTAAAATATTATATGGTTTTATAATTTATTCTATTTCTATTTTTATCACCCTGATAAACTCTGTGAATGCAGACATCTCTTTCTGTTTGTTTCTTCCTGTATCCTATGTGTTAGGAATACTGTCTGACACATAGTTGACACTCACTAAATATTTGTGAATGACTGAATAAATGACCAGCTACAGAGAAAAGTGCTTGCTACTCCTTGTTGCCTGGCTAAGCAAACAAACAAACAAGCCCCCCTATGGAGTCTTTGAGGAACTAGGAGTCTGCATCTGCCTGCCTGCTGTGGATTTCAAGCTACTCTGGTGAGCTGAATAGACAGAAGAGGAACTGGATTTCCTACTCACTGGCTGTTAGTCCAAAAAAGAAGCTGCTTTGCTTTCCACCATATGCTGGTTGGCTGCTATAGGAGATATGTCAGCAATCTGATCTTAGTGACTTCTAAAGAATCACAAAATTATGACAACAAATGAAAAATGCACCTCATTTAAAGGCACTCACTTACCTAAGAGAGGAAGACCAAACTGAATATCTAGTATGGGCAGCTCCCACTGAAAGAGAACTGAAGAAAAGGCAGAAAAGAATGTTACAAAGCAAGAGAAAATGAAAGATGTTACAAAGAATGTTACAAAGCAAAACAAAACAAATAGTACCAGAACTCTTTCAGAAAATAACAAAGGAGGGAAGATATCCCTCTTATTTTTTGAAGCCAGCATTACGTTTACATCAAAGCCAGCAAAAGACATTACATAAAAAGAAAGCTATAGATAGATATCCCTCATGAACATAGGTAGAAAAGTTCATGACCAAATGTTGGCAAATTAAATTTAACAATATATTAAAAATATTATGCAACATGACCATATCAGATTTATCTCAGAATACAGGTTAGTATAGCATTCAAATAGCAATGAATATAATCCACTGTATTTTCAGACTAAAAAAGAAAAAAACACAATGATTCCAATAACTGTAGAAAGAGCATTTACCAAAACCCAACATCCATTCCTGATGATAAAATCTCTCACCAATCTAATAACAGAAGGGAACTTTCCCAAACCAAGCAAGAACATCTATGAAAACCCAATGCTAACATTATATTTAATGTTGAAACACTGAATGCTTACCTATAACTTCATGAACAAGGCAGGGATATCTGCTCTCACCACTTGTATTCATCTTAAAAATAGAGGTCCTAGACCCTGCAATAAGGGAAAAAAGGGAAGGGGAAGAAAAATCATAAATATCAGAAAGGAAAAAATGAAACTGTCTTAATTCAGAGATAAATATGATCTTACATGAAATAAATTATAAGGGATGTGCAAAAAAAGCTATAAAGTAATAAGTTTAGGGACATCAAATATTCAAGGTCAGTATGAAAATTTATTTCTAAATACTAACAACAAAATTGGGAATTGAAAACAAAAATACTATTTTACTAATTACATCAAAATTATATACTACTTAGAGATAACTTTAACAAAATACGGGGAAGGACTGTACACTGAAAACTATAGAACATTGTTGAAAGAAATTTTAAAACACCAACATAGAGATACAGTATATCCCCTGATCAGGAGAATAAATTAAAATGGCAATTCTCCCCAAATTGATATACAAATTTATTGCAAACCCTTTCAAAATTACAGCAGGCTTCTGTGCAGAAACTGGCAAGCTGATTCTAAAATATACATGAAAAGATGAGTAACCCAGAATAGCCAAAATAATATTGAAATAAACTGTAGCACTTATACTGCCCAGTTTCAAAATTATTATAAAGCTATTACAATCAAGAATTGTGGTTCTAGCAAGAGAAGAAACACATAGATCAATGGAACAGAACTGAGAATCCAGAAATTAATTCTTACATTCATGGTAAATTCAGTTTTAACAAAGATGCTCAAGAACCCAATGAATAAAGGATAGTCTTTTCAACAAATGATACTCACACCAGTGTATAACCACATATGAAAAGATAAATCTAGCCTCTTAACTCACAACATATGCAAAGATTAACTCAAATTGGATCATAGACAAATATAAGAACTAAAACTATTTCAAAAATTGGGCAAAATATGTGAATAGACACTTCAGCAAAGTAAAAGCATATACTTATATGTGGCAAATAAGCACATGAAATTGTGCTCCACATCATTTATCATTAGAGAAATGAAAATTAAAATCACAATGAGATACCATTACAAACAATTTAAAATAGTTAAAAGAATAAAAAGACGAAGTTTTGGAAAGAATGTACAGCAAGTGGAACTCTTATACATTGCTGGCAGGAATGCAAACTGGTATAGCCATGTTGGAAAGCAGTTTGGCAGTGTCTTATAAAGATAAACATGCACTCAACATACAACCCAGCTATTGCATTCCCAGGAGAAATAGAAACATCTCTCTACACAAAAAAATTATATTTGAATGGTCTTAGCAGCTTTATTCATAATAGGATAAAACTGAAAAAAAACCCAATCCTTATGAACTGGTGAGTGGGTAAACAATGGGTGACAGACCAATATAATAGGATAAGCAATCAAAAGTAACAAACTACTGATATTCACATAAATACATGATTTTTTGCATAGATGAATCTTAAAAGCATTATACTAAATGAAAAGTCAGAATCACCAAAAAGTAGATACTGTATGACTCCAATTTATGTAAAATTCTAGACAAGGCAAAACTATAAAGATGGAAAGGTCAGTGGTTGACTGTTCCGTGGATGGAGGAGAGGATGAACTGTAAATGGGGACATGGAACTGGGTGATGCAAATGTTCTTAGGCTTTCGCCAATTTTTGAATTATATTGTGTCTAAATTATATCTCATATAGTGGAGAATTTTGAAAAATGCTATGCAAGTACCGCTACCTATCCAAACTCACACTACACAAACTCTCCTTATCTGAACTTAGGGACCTGAATTCCAGACAGCTACCTTCTGAAACACAAGGAGAGCAAGAGTACTGGCAACACGGAGAAGAGAAGCATCCTTGCATGGCCTTCACTGCTGGACTTTATAATGCAGGCCCCCTGCTGTAGTTTCCTCCACAGCGTGCATGTGTGGCCTTCACCCAAATATCTTCAAAATCTCTGACAGCCTTTGCACCCCACTCACACCCCATCACCAAAACCAAAACAAAAAACAACAAAAACAAAACTCAGATCAAAAGACAGATTAGCCTTCCGGAAAGATGGCGGAAGAGAAAGACGCTGAGGTCACCTTCCTCCCCACAGATACACCTGAAATACATCTACACGTGGAACAACTCCTACAGAACACCTACTGAACGCTGGTAGAAGACCTCAGACCTCCCAAAAGGCAAGAACCCCCCCCCCCCATACCTGGGTAGGGCAAAAGAAAAAAGAATAAACAGAGACAAAAGGATAGGGACAGGACCCGCACCAGTGGGAGGGAGCTGTGAAGGAGGAAACATTTCCACACACTAGAAGCCCCTTCGCGGGCGGAGACTGCCGGTGGCGGAGGGGGAAAGCTTCAGAGCCCCAGAGGAGAGCACAGCAACAGGCGTGCGGAGGGCAAAGCGGAGAGATTCCCGCACAGAGGGTCAGGGCCGACCGGCACTCACCAGTCTGAGAGGCTTGTCTGCTCACCCGCCGGGGCGGGCGCAGCTGGGAGCTGAGGCTCGGGCTTCGGTTGGAGCGCAGGGAAAGGACTGGGGTTGGCGGCGTGAACACAGCCTGCAGGGGGTTGGTGCAACACGGCTAGCCGTGAGGGAGTCCGGGGAAAAGTCTGGACCTGCCAAAGAGGCAAGAGACTTTTTCTTCCCTCTTTGTTTCCTGGTGCGCGAGGAGAGGGAATTAAGAACGCTGCTTGAAGAAGCTCCAGAGACGGGTGCGAGCCGTGCCTAAAAGCGCAGACCCCAGAGACGGGCATGAGACGCTAAAGCTGTTGCTGCCGCCACCAAGAAGCCTGTTTGCGAGCACAGGTCACTATCCACACCCCCTTTCGGGGGAGCCTGTGCAGCCCGCCACTGCCAGAGTCCCGGGATCCAAAAACAACTCCCCCGGGAGCACGCACGGCGCGCCTTACGCTGGTGCAACGTCACGCCGGCCTCTGCTGCCGCAGGCCCGCCCAGCACTCCGTGCCCCTCCCTCCCCACGGCCTGAGTGAGCCAGAGCCCCCAATCAGCGGCTCCTTTAACCCCGTCCTGTCTGAGCGATGAAGAGACGCCCTCCGGCGACGTACACGCAGAGGCGGGGCCATATCCAAAGCTGAACCCCGGCAGCTGTGCGAACAAAGAAGCGAAAGGGAAAGCTCTTCCAGCAGCCTCAGGTGCAGCGGATTAAATCTCCACAATCAACTTGATGTACCCTGCATCTGTGGAATACCTGAATAGAAAACGAATCATCCCAAATTGAGGAGGTGGACTTTGAGAGCAAGATTTATGATTTTTTTCCCCTTTTCCTCTTTTTGTGAGTGTGTGTGTGCTTCTGTGTGAGATTTTGTCTGTATAGCTTTGCTTCCACCATTTGTCCTAGGGTTCTATCCTTCCTTTTAAAAATTTTTTTCTTAATAATTTTTTTTTATTTTAATAACTTTATTATATTTTATCTTACTTTATTTTATTTTACTTTATCTTCTTTCTTTCTTTCTTTTATTCCTTCCTTCCCTCCTTCCTTCCTTCCTCCCTCCCTCCCTTCTTTTTTTCTTTCTTTCTACTTCTACTAATTCTTTCTTTCTACTTTTTCTCCCTTTTATTCTGAGCCATGTAGATGAAAGGCTCTTGGGGCTGCAGCCAGGAGTCAGTGCTGTGCCTCTGAGGTGGGAAAGCCAACTTCAGGACACTGGTCCAAAAGAGACCACCCAGCTTCATATAATATCAAACGGCGAAAACCTCCCAGAGATCTCCATCTCAAAACCAGCATACAGCTTCACTCAACGACCAGCAAGCTACAGTGCTGGACATCCTATGCCAAACAACTAGCAAGACAGGAACACAACCCCACCCATTACCAGAGAGGCTGCCTAAAATCATAATAAGTCCACAGACACCCCAAAACACACCACCAGACGTGGACCAGCCCACCAGAAAGACAAGATCCAGCCTCATCCACCAGAAAACAGGCACTAGTCCCCTCCGCCAGGAAGCCTACACAACCCACTGAACCAACCTTAGCCACTGGGGACAGACACCAAAAACAACGAGAACTATGAACCTGCAGCCTGCAAAAAGGAGACCCCAAACACAGTAAGATAAGCAAAATGAGAAGACAGAAAAACACACTGCAGATGAAGGAGTAAGATAAAAACCCACCAGACCTAACAAATGAAGAGTAAATAGGCAGTCTACCTGAAAAAGAATTCAGAGTAATGATAGTAAAGATGATCCAAAATTTTGGAAATAGAATGGACAAAATTCAAGAAACATTTAACAAGGACCTAGAAGAACTAAATATGAAACAAACAACGATGAACACCACAATAAATGAAATGAAAAATACTCTAGATGGGATCAACAGCAGAATAACTGAGGCAGAAGAACGGATAAGTGACCTGGAAGATAATGTAATGGAATAACTGAGGACATGGAAAGGAGAC